GATGAGGTCTGGTCGCAGATTAGTTGTTACGATCTCTGCGGGAAAAATTAGCCTCTGATCCAAGTCCATGTGCATCTGCCAATCCCTGGCAACCTTCAGCGGGCCCAGGTCCGGGGTTGGGGGGCTTGTCTTCGGCTTGTCTCCCTCCCGGACAAATGCTGATGAAAACTGACGCTCCTCTTGGTTCGTGAAAGGTTGAGCGTTGATGGATTTTCTTTTGCACTCAACTTTCTCGGCTAGACACCCGAGGACCTGCTTGTGTCTCCATGTGTATCTGCCCTGAGTAAGGCTGGTCCTACAACCAACCAAGATGTGTTTGAGTGTGGCTGGGACTGTACACAGGGGGCAGGATGGGTCCTTTCCAAACCACAGCTCCCGATTTATTGGGGAAGGTAGCACATCGTGTGTCGCTCAGATGATGAAACTTAGTCTATTAGACTCCATTCCCCAGATTTCACTCCATGTGCATTTCCTCTCTCAATTCATCCAGCGACCCTGCTTGGCCAGCGCTACCGCTCTAGCACGTCTTACTGTTTCCTTCTGTTGTCGCACCTCCTCCACTACCATTTTCCGATGTTCGGTTACAGATGCCTGTTGCCACCGAGGTGTTACTGCTCCAAGACCAAATCCTCCTCTGTCCTGTTGGACGTGACCCACCACGTCCAACAGAACAGAAGAGGACCTTATTTCTTTTTTTTACTTTCTGTCATATAGATGCTGGGTTATAGGCGGATAAGACTGTTTATTATGGGCAAAGTTTAAAATAATAAAATCATTGTATATCAGAATAATCAATATGAGCCAAAAGCTCAAACTTCAGACTGCTGTAAATGATTTGTTTCAGACATTTCATCATTATTATTATTATTATTATTATCATTTTCTCTGGACTCTGCATGATGTCAAAGAGAGGGGATATTCCAGATATGGTCATCTCAAACCCTGAAGTTCCAACGACCACCTATAACAGCTCACCTCTAAGGTCTTTTATTACCTGGACACTTAAGCAAGCTTTCCTCACAGACTTGAATTTAACCATGAGATAGTAATGATTGATCGATTTTAATACCAACACACGCTAGGCCCGTTATGAGGTCTTATGAGGGGCCTCTTATATCACATCTTCTACCATGTCACGTCTTTTCTTCTCTCATCACCTTTTACTCTGTTATAAATACACCAGTGTGGTCTGTGCAGCTAGAAGCAGCACCAGAGAAGAAAGTGGAATTGTATTTGTGAGCATGC